ACTGTAATTAATTAATTCAAAATGAACCATTACAATTTGCATTAAGGAGAAAGCAGAGTTCACAAAATATTGCCATGCAGAGATTTCTTTTTCCAAACACGTATGAGGTTATGCTTTTATTTGTCAAAGGTCAACTAATAATACAGTGATTCTGCCCTAATGTTACAGGTGGGATCCCCTAAGTCTATTCTGTTTAAATGGAGGGATGCATTATTAATACAGTGGCAGGGCAAGTCTGAGCAACTAAGCTAGCGGGCCAGAAAATTAATGGGGGTGGGGAGCAAAGGGAAATATAGGCTCTCTTGCAAAATCTAAATCACTCCTGGTTCAAATTTTGGATTGGCACTGCCTCACGTATTGTGGGCTCAAACATAGTATTAATGAGTAATTCTGGGTTCTGTGGACAGCAAAATTCAGGATATCAGCACTCACCCTGTTAACTGGCACTCATTCTGATTCTCAAAACTTCCCCTCCACCAATGCTAATGTAAGAACCTTAGCCCACACTGGCTGAGAAAGGGAAAGAGACAGGGCAAAGGATGGGAGCCGATCACCAACTGCATGGTATAAGTGGTCATTATAGAGTGAGAGGAGTATTTAATTCTTTCTATCCTAATTATTTCCATCTCAGTGTGCTAGAATAGTCCTCATAATTTTCACAGTATATTCCTTTGTATGAGTCTGGATTAGGAAAACAATATTCTAACAATGTAAAATATAAGCAAGTCCCAGGTTTATCTTTCCTGTGTTCCTTCTCTTTTACTTTTTGTACTTTCCTTGGGAACAGATCATTCAAAAACTGGGTAAATTGATAAAATGAAGCTGAGCTTGGACTGAGTATAATTTACTAAATGTGTGAGGCCTTCAGGGCAGACTGTCATAGATTCATAAGATTGCCTATACTTCCAGTTGGACCAAGCCAAAGGGACCAGAACTCATCTCATTAAAAAAATAAAAATAACCAGAGAATCAGATTTTGCTCCTAAGCAACCCAACTCTCCACTGTATCTCTAAATCTTCAACCTAATTCAGCCACCACCATCTCCACCTTGCATTTGACAATAGTGGAGAGACATTTTTTTCCCTCATAAATGTTTCTACTTATAAAAATCTCTGTCTAGTGACAGCAATGTCTGGCCTAGCTGAAGCATCAGCCAATAAAACTATCATTAACAATGATTGTGTTTGCAGATACTCTAGATCTAGAAATCATTGCTCATATGTCTATCTGTTTAAAATATTTCTTGTAAGTCTGCTGGTTTCTGGTAAGCATGTGCTTTCTTTTGAAAAACGTATAAGAAAACCTTGAGAACCAAGATCTTAAAATAAATAGATGAGCTCTGTGTTCCCCTGACTCAGCTCGGCCATGGGGATTGACCCTTCTTTGGGTGAGAACAAAATGAATGGGGACATAGGCTGCTTTTTGAGCAAGTTATGAGGCTCACTATTGAAGCTATTTTCTCCAAATACCCAATCCACCACCTATCATTTTAGTGTATTATTTTGGTTCTTGAAGACATTTTCTTTCTGAATCTTATCTAATACAGCTATCTCTGGGTAGGGTTGCACCTGAAACCATTATTTGGTGAGGACCAATGCACAGAGCACTTGAGTATGAATGGAGTACAGACTTGGGGATAGTGGTGGGTGTGATTGCTAGAAGAAAATATGGAATAAATGAGGAGGAAGGTAGAGAGCCCACAAATCTCACGTCCCTGTCAATGTAACTTAGAGGCTTTTGAGATGAAGGAAAATCTATCATTTTATTTAGGTATCATATTGTTTTCCAACTCCCATGTAAAATTTTCTGCTCATCCCCTTCATTCATGTTATATGGAGCCTTTCTATGGTGTATAGAATACAAGAATAAGTTAACCTGCATATCTACTACTAGATTTTTCATAACATAAAATTGCAATTGTGAATATATCTAGTTTGTTTTAGCTAGTGTTTTGTGTAATTCTTGGTCAATAAATATCCTACTTGACTCAAAATATATTTTGAAATGTTTGTTATGAAACAGAAATGCAGAAAAGTGCATACAACATGAATAGATACTTAAAAAAATATTTAGAATGTTAACACCCATGTCACTTCCAACTGGATATTTAGGTGCAGTAATGTTTATTGGTGTCCCAGGAACTCACACTGCTCACAAACCATACGTTTTTCTCAGAGAAACTGCTTTTCTCACTTGTATGATAATAATTTCATTTCTTTTTATTCCTTTTTAGTTGTACCTCCTATGTATGCACCCAAGCAACATCCTTTAGTTTTGCCTCTTCCTCTGATCTATAAAGAAATCATATTGTGTGTATTCTTTTATTTTTGCACTAGAGGCATATTGCACGAATTTGTGCGCCAGTAGGGTCTGGCTGGCCCAACCCGATAGGGGCCAATTGAGCCAGGCTGGCCAGGGGCGGGGGATGCCAGAAGTTGGCGGATTTGCCCCCGCCTCTGATCTGGGTGGGGAAGGGGGAGATTGGAGACAGGGCCCACTGGGGTTAGGAGCCATAGGTGGTTGGTTGGCTGGCCATGCCCCCTAATTGAACTCCTGGTCGAATTCCCAGTCGTGAGGAACAATTTGCATATTAGCCTTTTATTATATAGGCTCTTTTACTCAAATCTATGTTTGTGTAAGACTTATTCATGTTGTCACATGAAGCTAGTTGCTTCGTTTTTCATTGCTGTATAGTACTCTAGTGCATGTAGCACAATTTTAACCCACTCTCCTACTGATAGACATCTAGGTCGTTCCCAGTTTCTTGTGATCATGAAAAATGCTGCAGTACCTGCTGTCCATGCATGCCATGTGAATATATCAATGACTGGAAATGCTGGGGCATGGGTTATGTAGATCTTCAACTTTATAGAATAACAGGGAGCTGTTTTTTCCAAATTGGTTGTTCCAGTTTATACTCCACCTATCAGTGTACAAGAGTTCTTTCTGTTCCACACCTTTACCAACACTTGGTATTATCAGATTCTTAATTTTTTGCCAATTTGATATTTAGTGTGCAGTATATGCTTTATTTTTCCCTTCTCATTGTGGTTTTAAGTTGCAAAACCCTGATTTCTAATGACCTGCCCTTAATTCAAATTCCTTAAAATTTAAATGCAAAGTTTGTTATTCTGGATTATGGTAGTTTAGTGTTTATTTATACTGAGAACTTCAAGTCATAACTGGTAAGTGTAAGAGAAGAAAAAAAACACACACAAACAAACACCAAAAAACCTTCATTCATTGAACATCAGCTAGGAACTGGGCACCTCATGCACTTTGCCCTATTTAATCTTCAAAATAACTTTGCTAGTTGATATTGTTATCCCTATTTTCACTCAAGCCATGCCTGTGTGCTTTTGAAGCCTAAAAAAAAAAAAAATCTTCTCTTCAGTAATTATGTTTCCTTCAAAAAAAAAATAGCTTCTGTAGGGTCAAAATAATGATTAATATCCTGTGGTAAAGTCATATTAAAAACTACACCAAAAGAATATCAAAAGTAGCTTAGCTAATAGGACTAATTTAATAACAGCCTCTACATGTCAGTTTTTCCCTTAACACTTCAAAATCCAATCCATTAATATTTAAACAAATGAAAGGGTCCTTAATTTGCGGTGGGATTTCCCTCCTGAGAGGAACTGGTGAAAAACTTCAGGCATGTGTTTCATTTTCTGCCTGCGACAAGTCCTTGTGAAGTGGTTAACATGATCCAGTAGAATTATAGAATATTAATTGACAAACAGAAATAAAAGTAACAAAAATGAGAGTGAGACAAACTATTCTCTGAGATCATTTTTATACAGGTAGTCAATTAATAGGACAGGCAACAAATGGATACTTTTTTAAAAAAGAATTAATTTGAAACCATTTAAAGGATAAACATCAAGCAAGTCTCCTAAGAATTTATGTGTCATTAATGGTGCCTTTTTCTTTCTAACAATAAAATGTAATAAATAGCTTGTGAATCCTGCAGATATAGAAACCATTTTTAAAAAATCAAATTAACCAGATGCAAAGACTCAGGTATGATATTGCCTACAAAAGAGAATGTACGAAGCCAGCTCTCACCTCCTCCCTGGATGTTAGGAATAACTCAGAACACACGTAGCATTCTGTATGTAACTTTCCTCTCTAGCATCTTTACAAAATGACCCTTCAATGGGATCGGATCCAAAACTCTTCTCTGGGATGTAGACACACTGACGACTTGTACCTTTGTTACCAACAACATCAAATGCGGACTTTGCACTCATGAATATTAACCTCACATTCACCCCACTACATTGAAACAAACAGAGACAACACTTTTATTAATCACTTCCAGGCACTTCTCACATTTTGTGAGGTTCATTACTTTTTCCTTCACTCCACGGTACAAATCCTTGCTTGCGAAAGTGCTAGTCTAGTGTGCACTTCCCAGCTGTCAATATGCCTCCAGTCTCTTCTGTACCACCAACTGGCCACAAAGACTTGAAGGTTCAGGGATTACAGGATTTAAAGGATTTTAAGCCCTTTAAATTTGAAAACTCTTTAAATACCATTTTCTCTGCAGCCACGGAGAATTTTAAAATCAGCTTGCCCTTTTTCTAGCTCCAGGTTTCAGAATTAGTGTTTTCAAAAGTATAAATGCTTTTCTGCAATTCAACAAAGAGCTGTCCCCAAACAGTTGACCTCCGGGAAATAAAACCAGCTACTTCGCTAGCTGGTCACTGCTTATCAGAGGCAATAAATGGCAAGATGTGTATGTTATGCCACAAACCACCAGGAAAACAGGTAATTGCTTCCTCAACTCCACAGGAAGCCAGTGAATCAGAAGGGCCAGCACACTTTAGACGTGTGTCTGTAACTGTCTAAGAAGGAGAATACAGAAAATGTCAGGGGCCCAAAGAAGCTCAGTGGGGCAGCAAAAGCCAGCTCAGTGATTGGAAAACATTTGCTCCTAAAGAAAATCTGTTACCATGGATACCCTCGAATCCCATATAACCCTCTGAGGTCTTACCTCTTGTGTCCTCACATTTATGTATCCATAGTGAGTTCGAAGGGGCCGCCTGAATGTGTAGGAGAATGGTATCCATTTTGTACCAGGTTGTCCAAAGCAGTTTAGCAGCAATGGGAAATTCACTTCGTTTACAAGGCGCACAATCAGCAGGAAGAGAAACGCTGCTATGAAGCTCACTGCAATCACAGACTTTCTCTACAAAACATTTAAAAAGAGAGAAGGAATGAATGACTTTCAACCAAAAGCAGTTACAGAGATTCCTTTATTGCTCTCCCTTTCTCCTTCAAGGGTATCAAAGGATGCTGTCATTTAGGATATTTTTATCTGGAAACAGAAAATAATTATTTGGTGACTAGGCTGCCTTAGTGTGCTAAGCCTCAGAGAGTAAGCAAAGCAGCTTTCTTGGGTTATCTTTCCATTCCATTCCTACCCTTTCTTACCTGTCTATCTTCCTTGACAACTCTTATTCAATTTTCAAGTCCAAAAAAGACATTCCCAACCATGGGAAGCCCTTATTAACTACTCAGCTTCCTCCCCACCCTCATCTCTTCATCCCCAATATATTTACCCTATAGAAGTCCTGCTACTCCCATACTTTGAAGGCACTCCTATTGCACACTTTTCATTGTGCAATTATTTCTGTGACTTTTCCTCCTTGTAATTATGAGTTCCTGGAGAACTGGGATATACTATATCATACTGATCTCTGTATCCAAGTACCTTATATACTATACTAATAGACCCCCCAATAAACAATTGAGTGAATGAATGGATGGATAGGTTTTTTGCATTCTTACAAAGTCCCACTATCAATCATTATCCTGTGCTATAAGGTATGCACAAGTAAGACTTGAAAAGCTAACAATAGGGCAGGAACAAAATGCATGCCAAGCAGCATATGAATACCCCCCAAAATGGAACAGGAGCAGGAGCACTTGCATCTGATTGGGGAAAGCAGAGATGTATTTGAGCCTGAGCTTAATGAAATATCCTCCAGGGCTTTCTAGGAGGAAGGAACAGATCAAAGAGGCAAGGAAGCATGGGGTTATTCCTAACCACATGCCACTTTGTTTTACTGGGACACAGAGAAATAGAAAATGCTGGAAACACAAATGATAACTCTAGGGACTGCCTTGGATACAAAGCTGAGAAGTCCACTGGATTTGCTAGGTGACAGCAAACTAAAGGAGGCTTCTGTTTAATTTTTTAAGGTGACTGTTATAAGTTATCATCAAACCTCAGTATTTAAGATGCTTTGAGCAGGAAGAGACTAAAAGCTGGAGCTACTTAGGAGGTTATTCCAATTAGCTAGGATATAAGTAATGAGGGATGGAAAACTAGAGCAGTGGCAGGAGGGGGGGGGGATAAAAAAAAAGTGGAGAAAGACATAAGAAACTCAGTGTAGGCAAAAGGCAGAGAACTGGTTACTGGTTGGGTAAAATTGGCAGATAGAAAATTCAGAGATGCCCAATATTTTGTGTCTCAGGAACTGTAATAATACTAGTTATTTCAGTGGAGATCACAGCCAGTAGAGCCAAAACTGATACAATAAGAAGACAGATCCCTGGGCTTTCTAAGACCTAGTGTTCAGGGCCTGGTTGGTGATCTGAATGGAAATGTCAAGGAGTCAGGCTAAGGTCAAGGTTGGAACAACTCTGCCTTCAAATGCAGGGTGAAGACACACAAACTGTTCCTCTATGAAGGTGGGCTTGGCCCCTGATTCTTCCTCATACTTAAGGGAAACCAAATATCTTTCTGGGAATGACTAAATATTTTTGAGTTTGTTGCTGTGGTTCTTGCTTACCACTTTTTGGTGTAATCAGTTTCTTTTTGCTCTTCTCAAAATGTCACAAAAGGAGAAAAGAAATCCAAAACTAGCCCCTTATCCTCTCTGGATCCATGGTCATAAGCTCTCACAAATCAAAGACACCCAAAAGGAGTGTTTGCTCTTATTCAGCCTCTGTAATTTATAAAAATTCTATCCCTCTGTCTAACCAGCCTAATTTTTCAATCACCTGACATTCCCTTGAGTTCTGCCTCTTCAAAACCCCTTATCTCACCACTAACTACTACAGCCTTACCTCATTTAACCTTCTAATCATGAAAACCCATATCCTTCCAATCATGAAAACCCGTATTAATTTGCCCCTCTGTAGAAGCATTATGTCCACAACATTGCAATGTGTCAAGGTAACAGCTTAAATGAAGTGATGGATCTTACAAGTTAAAGGGACATAGAGCAGAACAGATGACTAAATAAAAGCAGAGGCCAGTCACCCATTAAGTAAACAGGTAAGAACTCTTTTTACCACCATCTGGTAGCTTGATGCAAACAGCATCTTGCTCTGAAGGAGACCCAGATGGGATTTGTGCCTTTGTGTAGTCCAGATCCAGCACAGCTCTGGTTCTCTTGGTTGTGACACTGCATTGTAGGGCTGGGTGTCTGGGGATAAAAGTGTGGGTAGTCTTTCTGAGTTATCTGATTGTATACAGTAATATGTACATTAGGAGAAAATAAACCATTTTTGCAAGAAACTACAATATGGAATGAAATCATAGTAGTAAAAGCTTGCACCCTAGTAATACATGTCTGCCTCCCATGTCCTATAAAAGGGATCCAAGTGGTAAGCACAGAGAGGATGAGGCAAGCAAATAGAGAGAGTGGAAGCCAGCCACCATTTCCTCTTGAGGTTAAGTCAAATTTTGCAGTGGGTAGAGGTGTTCCTTTCATAGCTCAGCCTTCCAGCTCATTATCTGTTGTGTTGTCTGGACCTGATTCTTTACTTCTTTTCATGCTTCCACATTCCTGTTTAACATGAAAATATCTCCATGGTGCTGATATAAAATCCCCCTGAAATTTCACTCGAAAAGGTATAACTTGGCAAGAAAACAGACTTAACATGAATGTGCGTTCTTGCAGTAGTCATGCTGTAAGGTCATGACCTTGAGCTTCAGGAATTAAGACAAAACCACAGATAAGCCTTTTTGAAATCTATACATACCAGAATGTAGTGAGAGAGAGAGAGAGAGAGAGTGTGTGTGTGTGTGTGTGTGTGTGTGTGTGTGTGTGTGTGTGTTTGGGAAATAACAAAATACTGATATGCACAATTTATATGAATGCATTTACTCCTTCAAGTCACAATTGCTTATTAAGTTCATGTACTGTACAGACTTGCTGAGGAGTAGAAAAACAGAAATAAGCCTCAAAAGACAGACCATGCTTACAGAGTCACAACCTAGTGCAGCTGGCAAGTAAACAGAAAAATATAATACCACGTTTTACAGGAGGTGACAGAGTTACGCTCAGGGTGCTGTGCAACTCAGAAGCAGTGGGGGTTGGGTAGTGCAAAAAAAATCAGGGAATACTTGCCTGGAAAGGTGGTATTCAAATGGAGTCCTGAAGTATGAGAAGGGGTTAGACAAGTGAAGATGGAAGGGCATTCCAAGCTGAGGGAACAGCACAGTCTAAGGCACAGAATTTTGAAAGGCCTTCATTTGGTCTGAAAGTCATTTGATAATAAGAATATGTAGATTGTATGTGGTAGGAGGTAATACTAGGTAAGTAAACATGATTCGATCATAAAACAAACAATAGAAAAATACTTTAACTTGGATGAAATTATCTTTCTTATCTATGTTACATTAGGGTAAGTAGAATAATAAAAGGATAAATGTATAAGAGTGCAATTCTTCACTTTCCAACCATGTGCAAATATGTCAATCACTTCATTTCATTGGAAACTGCCATGTAACATACCATAGTGCCCTGCTTCTAATTGTTTGACTTACATTTATTCACTCAGTGGCTTCTTTCTAGTCTACCAACAAACTTGAGCTACCAAGACAGCTCAACAAACTTTTATACCACAAAAAGCTGACATAAACTCCTTAAGCTGGTCCCCTAACATCAGAAGCATGGACATTCAAAGACACCATATGTAGAAAATGCAGAGGATAGTTTTGTACCCATAGTGAGCACTCAAAAACCAGACATTATTATTATAATATGACCACAAATTATCAGAGCTTTGGTGGGCAGAACAAATCTGTCCAGCCTATGTAAATGGATGACAAGTACATAGAGATATCTTTTTCTCAAATATTCCAGGCAACTGCAAAACCTTTAACTATTCAGTGCAACTTATCCACACAAGCTCCAAGAGAGTGTCCCTGTCCCCAAACAGATCTGGTGAGTTGCTTTAGGGAAAGCTTTCTCCTTCTGTTCTTCATTTTGGGCAAGTCTGATGGGGCCTTTAATAGCTGAGACATTTAGAGTTTAGTCCCCTCTGTGCTGCAAAAATATGCATCAAAAACATGGCATTCTAGTTGCTTGCTCTTTAGAGTTGGAATATCATTTATCAGACTTATAGCAGAAATACTTATTTTGAAATAAAACCCACAGAGAATTCATGATTTAGAGAGAAAACAATTGCAGGAATGTGGACCTGGCAAATTTGGAAGCTATATTTATATCTGTAGATGTATTTTTTTCTACCACAGAGCTAGCCTTTAACCGCAATGTCTTTAACTATCAATTTAGTCAGTTGCTAGATTTTGTTTTGTTTCTGTTTCATAAATAATAAACAGCAGTATAAAGGTATATTTATTTATTTAAATAGTATTACTAAATGACTGAAGTAGTTTCTTATTAGGATAAAAACAATGCACACTTTTATCCATATGCTTTCATTTATCCAATAATAAATATAAAAGAAAATGTCAATTGTATGATTTGCATGAGTGCTTAATTACCTCACACATTGATGAGCCCCTACCCATTACCTATTTGTGACCTTATCAAATACAAATTATTCCCATGTAAAAAGTTGTATAATCAATGTTATTCTGCCTTATGCCACTGGTTAAGCTTCAAGTCTGGTTCCCATAAATGCAATAAAGCTACTTTCCATTTGTACACGATAAATCAACAAGGCTCAGATTATATAAATGAAGTCTTTATTTGTTTTGTTTTGTTTTGTTTCAGCTATTGAATCAACAAACAGTGTAGATCCTGCTTATTAAACTATACTGAACCATAAGGAAACTCTCACTCATTTGTTAAGGGATAAGAAAAGGAGGATAATAAAAGTTAGATAGTCCTAGATTGGTGGAGTCCATTCAGGAGCTTGTCAAGGCCAGCCTTAGCAGCATAGTTGGTGATAGAATTATTGAGGTCATCAAGAAGAGTGTAGTGA